GGAGGGAGGGAGGGAGGGAGGGAGGGAGGGACGGAGATCTTTAATGTAGCTAACTTTTTGTTCTCTGTAAAATATACTGCTTGATAAACAAATTCTGTTAGCCAACATTTATCACATTTTTGGCTGCAAATAGGGAGCATGTTTGTTTGTATGCTTACAATTCTGTTAGAACTTCCTTCTCTGGGAGAGGAAAGTATCTGCCCACAATCCTTGTTGGTTTAGCAGTTGTTTAGCTGGTACATGCTGAGAGACTGAATGCCAGAGCATGTTTAACAGTATTGCTATCCATGCACAGTTTACTAGTGCATCAATAGTAATACCGATCATCTGAGGATTGTGTGTGGGCCTCACACTGTCTCTATGGAAATGTCTCTGTCCATTTTACAGCAGTTCTTGGAGGCTGGTCCCACAGTCAGTCTTTCTGTGATGCATAGGACAATTGGATAAAGAATCTGGTTCTCTTGGTCACTTCAGTGCCATACCGTAGACTTGGGTGTGCTGTCAGCCATGTGCTGGCTTGCACTATTGGGTGGCTGCCCGGTCTTCTTTTCACCTCCAGGCGTCTTTAAGTGAGGATTCAGATATCAAAAGGATATTATGACTCAGAAAATAATTTCTTATTAGATTCACAGAACAGACAGGAGAGTTGGATACTTCATTTTAGGGCTTTGCTAAGCTAGTTGACAAGCAGGAGGAACTGTCTACCCTTTTTGTCCTTTTTTTTTTTAAATGAAGGCTTAAAAGACAGGCAAATGCCAGGGTTTTAGAATGCATATTCCAGTTTCTAAGACTCTGCCTAGAGATTCTCACAAACAAAGAATCAAAAGAAAAGCCCAAATCAACTAAAGAAATAAGTCTCCTTCCCAGAGATCAGCACATGTCTAGTGCTTCACTGTGAATTTCTAACCAGCTTGGGTCTTGTGACTGAACTTCTAAACCTCCATGTGTGTGTTAGAACTTCTGGTTCTATGGAATGCTGCGTCATGTCATGATCTGAACAAGCAAAACTTAAGAGCAATCTTCTGTGTTCGTGTCTCAGCCTGGATAGCTGCGCTGAGTGACAGGAACACGTCCCTCTGTTCACTGACTGTTCCAGGATTAAGACAGAATTCTTGCCTCTGGCAACTGGAAATTATCCTGCTTACACAATATGTTGGCAAACACTATGCATAAGAAAAGAACAGTAACATAGGTAGGTTAGAATGTGCAATGTTTAATATGTGTTCTGTTGCCGCCAGACATCATTTGAAGTAGCAGCTGCTGCTGCCTTACAAGGAAGCGAATTCCTGCCTCACCTGGCTTTGTGTGTGTCCAGACTCCCATCTCTCTCTGTTATGGTCCAGTGATCTGTAGACACCTGGTGTGAATCATATGTCCCCCAATGCCAAGGCTTCAGCAGGACTTTCTGTGCTTTGGTATACTAACCTGAGATGTGCCTCAGTTTCCAGAACTAGTTTCTAGAGATGATAAAGGCAGAAGCCAGTCTCAGTGTAGAATGTGCTTCACTGTTTCTGATTGACGGAACATCTGAAACAATTTACTAATTATTAAGATGACAGAATTCTTACTTGTACCAACTGGAAATCATTGTGCTTACATAATATTTTGGCTAGAATTGTATTGTAAAACTTTATAAGAAAAGAAAGAGAATCTAAGTTGATGAGAAAAGGCCCTAGTGGCTAAAAGTGGAGAGGGGTGCAAAAGGAAACTTGGCCCCTACAGCCTGTGAGGTGATATGTATGCACACTCTGCTTTATTTGATTGGTATTAGTTTATATCTAAGGTTTTATGGATATTGTTGGGAGGGGAAATGGGCTTATTTCTGCTCATAGTTCCATATCACAGCCCATGGCAGAGACCATGAGGGATTGCTACTTACTGCCTTCATCTCTTCTTGACAAGGGGTAGCACTACTTGTAGTGATCTGGATTTTCCAGCATCAAATATCAATGAAGATGCACCATAAGCCAATCTGGGGGAGGCTGTTTTCTCAATTGAGGTTCCTGATTCCCACAGGATTCTAGTTTGTGTCAATTTCATACAAAACTAGCCATTTACAATCATCTTATAGACCCAGAACTCCTTGACAGAAGACAAACCCAATTCTTCTTGAGGAACAACTGAAAGTTTTATTGTTAATTTTTCTTTCCCCTTCAAAGGATCTTTTAAAAGTGTCTTTTATTTCATAATAGCCATGTACTAAAGGAAAGGAGTTAATGAAATTATTAAAAAAACTGCTACATATTGGCTCAGAATTGATACTATTCCAGGAAGCTATCAATGTCACTATGGTCAATCAATCATAGTAGGAGTATATAGAAACCAACCAATCAGAAAGTGTGGGCTTATCGAACCCAACCATTCAGAGTAGAGTCTTATATAGAAACCAACCAATCAAAACTTATGAAAACTAAACAATCATGGTTTATAACTGAAACCCTTCTCCGAGTCAATCTGTGAGTGTAAAAACATACTCCCTTGAGATCCCCTACTTCCAAAATGCAAGGATAGACATGTTTAGTACCTAGCAAAATATACATACAGATTCCCTGATCTGTGAGGGAAGTGATGATAAGGTGTAATAGTGCATGATTTAAGCCTCAGCACTTGCAGTCTGCGACAAGTGGATGGCTATGAGTTTAAAAACAAGCTAGGCCACATTGCCCATGTCAAGCCAACCAAGGCTATAGAGAAACATTCTCTATTCCTCACTTAAGAAAGAAAGAAAGAAAGAAAGAAAGAAAGAAAGAAAGAAAGAAAG